AAGTATAAATATTAATCTTCCTATTCATGAAGTTTGAGTTTAAAATTCTAACTGTAAGAGGTAAAATTTAGCCATTTTCGGATGGGAGCTAATGAAAAATAAAAACATTTTTTTCAAAACTTGATTTAAGAAAGTTGATAAGATGACAATTATTCAAACGGTCATAACTTTGCTTCCAGACACCCGATTGAGTTCATTTAACCAATGAAACTCTATTCCAACAATTGAAAATCTTTAAAATTGTATTATCGACGTTCAGAAATGGATAACAAACAACATGCTTAAATACAACCCATCGTTTTGTCGTTCTAAATTCAAGCCAAAACCAAAATTTCTATCTTTGTTTAATAAAATCATCATCAATCCAGTTTTATCCACTAGAAATCTTGGGGTCGTCCTTGATAAATGCCTTAATTTTGCTCCTCACAGTTCGTAAATTGTCTTTCTTTTGTATTCGTAACCTGTGGAAAGCAGTGGTGACTTCAATAATTCGTACTTTGTTATGGTTTTGTTAACCAAACAATTAATCTTTTCTGCAGTTTAAGATTTGACAGACATTGATCTAAGAAGGAGTTTTTTTTTTTTTTTTTTTTTTTGGAATTGGGGATAAATGGCTCCTGTAACCTTGATTGAAATTATTTCCTAATATTCTTGGATTTAATCTTTATACCCTCTAATTCTGAGAATTCTATAATTCTACACAGTGACCACTTTTTTTAAATTGTGAAGTTGTAAAGGGACAAAATAACCTCAAATACTAGGCCACTTTTTGAAAACAAATTAACCAAAAAAATCAATTTAATCTGTATTCATTTCTTCATAAAGAAAACAAAATTAAAATAGATAAGATACAGTCGTAATACATACCGGTAAATACTCGAGATACTGAAAAACTTAACAACATTAAGTCATAGACTTAAAACACATGTTTAATTTAGTTTCAGTTGCTAAAATCGTACATTAAAGATTAATTTGGTTCCAGCTACCAACAACATATAATAAATAACTTCATTAATGATTTAGACATTTTAGAAACCAAGCAAAATGAAAATTCAAAGGAAATAAATATTCAATTCTTTTAAGATAAAAGATGTTTAAAATTTGGTTCCAGTTCCTAAAAAACTTATTAACTACATTAATGATTTATTTGATTCCAATTGCTAAAAAAAGAAAACAAAAAAAAAACAAAAAAACACTAAACTACATTAAGCGTAATTATTCAGATATTTAGAAATCAAACACAAAATCATATACAAAGGAAATAAACATTCAATTCTTTATTAGGATAAAAAAATGTTTTACTCTACCACCTGTACTTTTGGACAAGCCGAGGTGTACCATGTTGTGCTAAAACTCTTTGGTTGTAATTTCCATTTTCTAATCTAGCGCCCTCTACCTTGGTGGTCATGGATGAATGACGTTCAGATGTTCTGTTCTTCAATATTCAATATTCAATATAAAGTTTATTTCCACATCATCAATACAAAATAAATAGACGGAGAAATACATAAGGGTAAAAAAAAAAAACAATAATTGATAAGAATGTAAGCCCATCAGAACATTTGAATAAAGTGGAAAAAGGGTCGCCACAACAAGCAAGCTTTATAACGGGCGCCCATTCTTGCAATTCAAATGCATGCCATACCAGTGTCTGCACATTTTGACACAGTTTGTTTTTGGAGTCTGTTGTGTTTGCCGTGAATAAGGAGGTTTATTATTGGTAAACAGTAAGTAGTAATTCTGGATAATTCTTAACAACTAGGCATTACGGAAACTGTTATGGCCTAGCCTACGCCCTATTACATTACTGACTATGCCTAGCTATTTTTAGCCTTTTCTAGGCCCCCATTTTGGCTAAGCACCGTGTAGGCCTAGGCCTATATATGAATGTGAGTCATTGCAATTGCACGAGCAAAATATCTTCATCCTTCAAGAGAACTACCGAAGAGACTCCCAGTAAAATCTTAAGTTGCCCAGGATAATAATAATATTAACAATAGGGAGAAACTAAGCAAGCAGTTTGATATAGTAAAAGTATTAATTAGGCCTAGGCTAGGCGCATTAATATAGGCCAACACACACTACATTCGTTTCATTTCATGTCGAGACATTTGATGAAGAAGGGTATGCTGAACTTAAAAATTGTAAATATTAAAAAAGAAAAATTTAATTTGCTGTTAATATTATTAATTACTACTGTATTATCATAATTATCATTATTATTAATAATGTGACAATGGTGACAATAATAAATAAACTAGTACAGTTTTAATTATTACAGCATAATAATTATGCTGTAATAATTAAAACTGTACTAGTTATTTATTATTGTCATCATTGTCACATTATTAATAATATTATAATGCTATAGGCCTTTCAATTTAAATTATGTATCTTATAAAAGTGGAGACTAATCACAAGTGACAGAAAACAAGAGTTGACGTCTTTCGGGAACAAAAATATATTTATTTCTACTCGAAAATTTTAATCGTCCTTGCGTTCTCCATTGTGATATCAGTGAAGAAGGGCGTGTACTCGATAAAATATTACAGTAATGGTTTATGTAGCTGTACAGGGCGGTCAATAAACTATAAATATACTGTACTGTAGTTAGGTCTACAGTGATTCAGGAAGCAATCAACATATTTTTCTACATCAATGATAATAAAGTGAGCGATCCCAGAGTGAGTAGATACAGTAATTCAGAAAATGTGTTATAAATAAGAATGTGTTAGAAATAAATATATTTTTGAATCTTGAATCTATTTGTTTTTATTCTACTTATAACCCAATGGAATCTAATTCTTGACTTCGGATAAATTGGTTGTCCTGAATCTATTCATTTATAAAATATTTTACATTAATGCAATCTCCTTACTCAATCAAGTTGTAACACTGAATGTATTCTGAACTAACAATTTTTCTCTTCCATGGGAGTTACACCCACCTTTATTTCAATCTAATTTAAAATTTTCAATTTTAGAATACACATTATTTAAATAGAAGGCCTATTACATTACAATACTATAAACAATATTAATAATAATTATGAGATAATGATAACAATAATAAATAGTACAATTTTGTATATTACTATAACATAATACAAAATATTTTTGCTTTTTATTATTTACAATTTTTAAGTTCATAATAGGTCAATGCTTCATGTGTTGTGTCTTGCATATTTTTTTTCTCTCGATGAAATGTAACATACGTAGTGTGTGTAGGCCTATTATGAAGATCGTGGTTGAATGCGTTTCTGCAGATGTCATTGCGTTATAGATACTTAAGGTCAACGCATTACCTTCTGAAGCATGGCTGCAAAACCTGTAAAACTACCACTTTAAAAGGTTTTTTTTATTGATTTTTAGGTAGTTTTCTACTTTCGTTTGGTAATATTTTAATTATTTTTGCATCTTTGTGGTCCCGTGTTGTTCCATGTGGTTGTGTGTGGTGTCGTGTAGTGTTTAGTGGGACCTTAGTATAGGCCTAGTTTTAACTTTTGTTTACATACAGTAGTACCTTAGGCCTAGCCTATGAATTTCATGGGCCTTTATGATGTTCCAGACAACAGGAAAAAAGTTGGTCCCCATCATGGCGTGGCAAGGGTAGTAAAGCTATAGGTAGCCAGTGAAATACCCATCCATTTTTATGAGAACATGTGTAGCACATTCATTCTGTGCACGTCCTCCATTTTCCACAGACCTTCGATATGACTTTAATTCCTTGTTCAAATCCACTAGCTCCGTAATGCCGCCAATCTTCCCAGTTTTTCGGTTAGGACATACCGATTTTGATATTAATCATTCCATCAGTGGCTATAACTACATATATTATGATGAATTTGATGAATTGCTGTTTCTGCACAATCAGGTAGTGTCTCTGCTCCCTTAGGTTTTCCTGTAGTTTTTAACAAATAAATTTTCCTTGTTTTAATGCAAAAGTGACCCCCTCAATGGGGTGAGTGTCCCATAAGAAGGGTGTCTGTAATATTCCTTGCCCTTGTGTAACATAATACATAGAACGTTCTAGAATAACATTTATTTCACCAAACAGTCAGTATATACCACTTTTGGTAATTAGGTATCACCGTATCCAAGAGTAAAGTTTAGAAGGTTCTAGATATTGAAGTGTACTGTAGAGGCAATAGCCTATTGGCTGATTATGATGCAATGTGACTAAAATAATTTATTTAGAATGCTCTGGAATTCTAAGGCTTATATAAGGTGATACGTTTTTCTTTGTGGAGAGCTGCTTTTTGAAACCACAGTTGGTTTGATACCAGATTCTTGTTGAATGTTATAACACAGTTTTATTTCACCTTTGTGAACTTCGGTTTTAAATATTTTATTTGTCAAAGAGGGAATTCCTATTTATTCCTTTACTGCTCGGAAATACGTCAAGTAGGAATTGATGTCTACTGCATTTTGAAAATATTGCTGCTTAATTATGTCTAACCAATTTATTTTATAGTTTATGTGTACAATGTTGTCAAATGTTAATGTACAGTAATTATACTTTTCAATATTGCAATCACTACTAATATTTGATTAACTAAATGCAATGTCATGAACATGATCTTGTTGATATATTAGTGGACAAAATTAAGTCTACCACTAGTGGAGTTTAATGAAAATGACAAATTAAAATTGACTAATCTCTTACAATGCGACAGCTCCTAAGTTCATCATTTTAATTATTCTGTGTCTTGAAATTTCTGAAAATTCTGTTTCAACGTTCATCCATAGTTGATGCATGTGATGCATACCTTGTGTTTTATCATGTGTACAAGCTTACAGTATTGACACTCTTTGAGATCAAAAAAAGCCAAAAAAAAAAAAGAAGAATATTGGTAAAATTTGAATTTTGCCTATAAGCAAAACAAACTTTGTCTTGCCCAAACAAGATCTACCCAAAGTCTTGAAAATCGTGGTTGGCTATTTTATAATGTGCTATTGTAGATTTTTTATTTTTTTTTTTTTTAAATATCTCCAGATTCGCACATTTGTTAATATGGCGACTACAACTGAAGCAAATGGAGGAAACCAGATTATTGCCGATGTGAAGGACTATTATGGAAAGGTGTTGAAAAGTTCTGACGATCTCAAGACACCCGTATGCTGTACCCGGCCTCTCAATATGTCCAAGAACGTTCGGGATGCTTTGGCGCAGATCCATGAAGAGGTTCAAAATCGGTATGAATTGTACATGTCTTCTCATTAGTACTAAAATTACATATACAGGTATACAGAGTGTACAGTGAAGGCTACCATAAATGCCTATGTTCTTTTTTTAAAATAATTGAACTTTACTATAATACCGTTTTTGAAAGGGTTTTCCACCATGATGACAAAGCATAATTTAATATCAAAGTTCCTTTTTTTTTTTAGATATCAAGTTTAGTTTTGAAGATATTAATTGATTATACAGTACATTCACAATTTCTTCTGGCAGGCCTTTTGTAGGATGATGGGCGAAAAATAATTGTTATGCTTTTAAGTGCTTTGTATAATAGATGTCACATTGTTACACATTGCCTTAATTATTGTTAAACATTTGTCAAGTAGTGCCGACATGATTCCATAGAGAATGCAACACAAAGATACCAAAACTCACTTCCTTTTAAAAAACAGTATTTGTCAATGTTATTAGTTTTTAATAACAAGTAATATAATATTATAAACAAATACTGTAGGTAAAGAATAATAACAAAAGTGCTCGAATAAGAACTTGTAATAATCGTATCAAGCATAGCACATCAACAAAATGTTCTGTACATCAGTTTGTATGAAAAAAATGTCTGGCGGGATTCGAACCTGCAACCTCTCGCTATCAGGGCTGATAATGAAATAATAATTACTTACAAACAAAAGGACTATTATTAAAATTTATTGATGGATATTTTAAAGGTTTTTTATGCCTGGAAATGATTTTTTTAGTTTGTAGTTTTGCTATTCTTGCAGGCTTGCTTTTATTCCTGTTTGAACTTAACTTCAATGTTCATTCATAGGTACTATGGCTGTGGGCTGTGTATCCCTACATGTCTAGAAGGTGCTAAAGTGTTGGACCTTGGAAGTGGAGCTGGGCGTGACTGTTACCTTCTGAGTAAGCTGGTTGGTGAAAATGGTCATGTGACCGGAATTGACATGACAGACGAACAGGTATAACAGGTCAAAGGTCATTTAATATTGAAGATGTAATCTTTGAACCATATGTAAACATTGTGTGTGCTAACTCTCTAAATGGCAAATAAGTTTTCTTTTAGATTACAGATGCGATAAGCATACAGTGGTGGATCCAGAAATTGTAAATGGAGATCTATACCAATTTATGATTACGGAACTTTTAGATGGCCGGGTATGGCACTCACAGACAAAAATTTAAATATAATTTTCTTTTTTTTCTTAAATTTTTTTCAATATTGAAAATTTTAGTTGGGGATCCCAAGCTGTCTGGGCCCCCCCCCTACCCCTTAAATCTGTCACTGGTTTAGAGATACAAAGTATTGAGTAATTTTATTATTGAAATACAGTTCTCTCTTCAATTAAAGGCCACTTTTGAGACCAGGGGATTCCATATTTAGCAGCTTTGGCCTGTAATTAAAATAATATTTATATTTGTTAATATGGGACCACAGAAAGAGGTCTTTAATTAGAGATGGTCTTTAATTGGAAGTGGTCTTTAATTAAATGTGCAATGGCACCCTCTATATATATTCTATACAACAAGTCCATAGCAACACAATCTCTCTCTCTCCCCGTTCTGTAAACAGCATAGCTGAATCTAATCCAATTTAATCAATAAAGTTTATGTTGGAGTTAGCTCGCGTGTCTTTAATTTGTACACACACGCTTACACATCGAACAGCCAACCAATCTTTACATGTACAACATAGTAAAATAGAAAATAAATTGTCTTCCTTTTGCTGTCACTGCGCTAGTAACAGAAGGGAACTTAAATCTCATTGGACCAAGCACCGGCCATGACTTTTTAAAACCAAAAGCCAAAATAATAATCTATGAGCATAATATTTTCTATAACATTTCTAAACACCATAAAAATGGCCCAAACTTTTCAAATTTTTTTTTTTTTTTGTTGAGGTTTGAGAGAACTTCTTCACTGTCCACCTAAAATGGTAAGAATCCTCAGTTGGATGAATTTTCCCCTTCAACTGAATTTATTTCTGTCTTAGAGCTCCCACTGATACTGCTTTTTTCCTGTGCACTTCATAGAATTTTAAATATCATGCTGTATTATTTTCTGGGTTTTATTTTTTGCAGCTAAATGTTGCCAGGAAATACAAAGACTTTCACAGTCAGCTCTTTGGTCACAAATCCAGCAATGTGGAATTTTTGTTTGGCTACATTGAAAAGCTAACAGAAGCTGGTATTAAAGAAAATTTTTTTGATATAATTGTGTAAGTGGTTTCTTTTTAATAGTAAAAGTAAAGTTTAAATAAAGCTTTGTTTGGTGTGCTTTACGGCACAATAAATGATAGGTATGGATAGTTCTAGGTCCAGCCAGGCACCTTCGACATCCAACGCAGCCATTTCAGGCTTTTTAAAAATATTTAATAAACACAAAAAATGTACTTACTTTTTATTATGAAGTGTTTGATACTAGGCCTAGGCCCATAGGCCTACTAATTACTAATTGCCTTAGAAACTAACTACCCAAAAGAATTTGTTGCATGACTGTGATTTGACATGGGTCAAAGGTTATTTATTTTTTGCATTCGGAGCCTTTTGCGATAAATTTTCTGATTCTCATGAAAATCTCGTTTCAGCAGGAAAAAATAACAAAATGGCTGCTTTCCGATAATTTATGGGGTAATAAGTGCTGCGGAAAACACGGGCTATAATGAAAATCAACTTGTATTTAGTCGGTGCCTCTCGTACCAACCTTAAATCCCTTACCACTGCGCTAATATGTTCGCGCTTAGTTCACATACGTAATCAAGAGTTTTACTTGACAATTGTCACCGACTGTACATGTTTCAAATGCAAAATATTTATTGGCGCTACTCCATATGAACTTCTCAAAAGATTGTTAACAGTTCAAGATAATAGGTAAGTCGAAATACACTGAAAATTATCCTGTGAACAGATTTATTTGGTTCATTTATAGAGAAAGAGCTTTGTTAACCTTCCGCCTGCTAATATTCATTATTTAAATAAATAAAAGATTAATTTTGGGGCTGTTGAGAAAAATAGTAAATATCATGAAAAAAAAAAAAATTTACCCCATTTACCATATCTCATGATTAAAATATTAACCTAAAGAATTTATTAGTCCAATTACTGAGCTCTTTACATGGCATCATTTTTACAACTCCACAAGGTGAACTCAAGTCAGGTCTGAAGGGCGCCTCTGTTACTTCTTACTTGTAAACAAATTGCTAGTTTCAATTTTTTCCTTTGCTTGAATTCTCTTGGTAAAAGTTTGCTGAGGGGGTGTTCACAATTATCAACGTTTTCACAAGTGTACAAACAGTATGATAGAGGCAAGGGGGTAGACAAATTTGTACGCTTTTACATGTGCATGAAAATGTTGATTCAATATAACATGGAAATTATTGAGAATAATATATTTTTATGACCAATTATAATGCAACCATGGGTATGATATACATTTTTAAGTAAATAAGTACAGTACTTTAGTCAACTTCACAAAAAAATGGGGAATAATTTTTTATGTACACTTTCAGATGGGAGGGAGGGGGTACCGAAAAAGTGTACTGTTTGTACACCTTCGAAAATATTGATAATTGTAAATAACACCTAGAGAAGGTATGAAATTGGTATCCCAAAATGATTTTGCAATATGTTCTTAATTTTTTATTGGAAATTACATTACCTTTCACATAAGAATTTTGGTGAGTCTACTAAATTTCTGTTGAACAAATAAATATTTTTTGTGATACTATAAAAGACATTGCTTTTTTTTTCCAGTTCCAACTGTGTTGTAAATCTGTCGCCTGATAAAAAAACAGTTTTGCAAGAAGCCTTCAGAGCTCTGAAAGAAGGAGGAGAGCTGTATTTTAGTGATGTGTACGCGGACAGGCCTGTTTCAGAAGACTTGCGTCAGAACAAAGTTCTATGGGGTAAAGTATATATTAAAAAAGTTGCTCACTAAAGTTTCTAGATTAGTAACTATGTAATTTGAGCTAGGCCCCTGGAGACTTGTGGCAGCTGAAGGGGCCTCTGGGAATTTATGCCTACTGCAGTGCAGCACTACTATTGCTAATGATGAGGTAGAACATAGGGAGATAATTTCCTGTTTTTTTGTTTTGTTTTTTTGTTTAAGTGTGTACTTTGACCTTCAGCATACACATGAGTCACACTGTACACAGAATGAACAGCTTCAGAGATGGTGCCCTATAACCTGTATTGCACAGGAAAATCAACTTCATAGAATAGAAAAATGACACAAAGATCTTTTTACAGTTCAGTGCACACAAAGTGGCTATACCATCAGTTTAAATATGCAACTGTCTGTCATAATCTAAAAATATTGAAAAAATTAATTATATAATTAAATCTAATTTTAAGTTATAAAACATGCAATTAAAATTTGAATGAGAAAAAATTCTCACCTCTCCATTAAGAGAGAGCTAAATAATATGTTTTATGTATTTGGTAATCAATTTTAGGCTTTTGTAGTAAAATGTCTAAGCCAGCAAAAACAACTTTTTCTTTTTTTCCTGATTTGTCTCTGGTTGAAGATTTAAACCTGGCTCTGGGGGAAAACAGTTTTTTTTTTAAAATTTTAATATGTTGTGCAACTGATATCTTCTAAGACACAAAAGGGGTGTTTAACAAATAAACAGTAATTGAGATACAGATTGTTGGAATTGTTAAAAACTCTGGGGAAAAGGGGCATAACCACTTTTTTTCCTCTTAATTGATCCCTTCAAATTTGCTATTCAAAATCTTTATTAAATTTTTCTTGATTTTTTTGGCAGACAATACTTCTTAAGAATAACTATGCTACTATCTAAACAAATGAATAAAATAGTGTTATTTTTTAAATGTTTATTTAGGTGAATGTTTGTCTGGCGCCCTCACATGGACGGATTTAGTTAACTTCGCAAAAGAGGTTGGATTTTCTCCGCCACGTCTTGTTTCAGCTGCTCCTATTGATATCACAAATCCAGAGATTGTCAAACTTGTAGGTAAGGTATACATATTTGCACATTCTAGTAGCACCTCTTTAACCACATATTTTTATCCACATTTAAATACTGGAAGAGTATGATAAAGTAAAGTATAAGGTCACATATCCAGTTTAGGGAATGTTCATATGCTTAAGAAAAACAACTAACCCATGAAATATCCTGAGAAAACCAGCATCAATCTATCACTTCGCAGGTGACATGAAGTTCATCTCTGTGACGTGTCGGTTGTTCAAACTACCAGCCAATAAGGAACCTTCCGGTGAGGTGATATATGAGGGTACTGTAACTGATCATCCAGACAGCCTGAACATGGATATTTCCTCAACATTTAAGGTACGTGGTAGATATCACATTATATTTTGATAAATATTTACAGCAATTTATAACGGTAAAGCCAATAAATATAGAATAATCCAAAGTGAATGGCGCCCTCTGTTGTCGACACCATTACTGGGGAGTCCAGGAGTCGTCCCTACACCTAGGCCTACTCCTAAAATGTCAATGCGGTGTGGTTATAAACACAGTACCATTGAGAAATCCGGCTTTTTATTTTGCAGCTTAATAATGCTGGCAGTCTTCAAACTAAAAATTGATCACAGTTAAGTATAGTTCGTGTATTTAAACATCTTCCAACTTGCCACCCTAGTAATGGCGTCGACAAAAGAGGGCGACGTTCAAAAAAGTTCTCTTGGATTCCTCTATACACCGATCTGTTTTCAGTGATCATCCTCCCTCTGCAGGTGCTGCAATTGGGGGAGTCCAGTAGGGGATTCTAGAGCATCATCCTGCTACAAATATAAATATGGGTCTCACTTTAATTAGAGACCACTTTTAGGACATGGGTTTCCATGGCCTTTAGTAGATTTGGTCTCTAATTAGAATAAGACATTTGTCAATATGGGACAACAGAAAATTGGAAAATTGGAGGTGGTCTTTAATTGGAGGGGTCTTTAATTGGAGGTGGTCTTTAATTGGAGGGGTCTTTAATTGGAGGGGTCTTTAAATCGTTCAAAAAAGTTCTCTTGCTTTATGTACTCTTTTAAACATTTTGAATTATATTAATAGTTGGCCTTTTTTTGTGATGACAGGCGAATTGCCCTTCTTATGTTGACAGCACCATGGCAACAATTCTCAAATGCAGTCGCTATGCAGATGATTTCACCTTTAATACTGGTGGCCCATCAGAGGCCAAGAAAGCTTGCCAGCCACAGAAACTTGTGAGTTTTATAGGGGTGACCCTTTTAGCTTAACTGATATTAAGGGGCCCTCTTCAGTAAACAAAATCAAGATAATAAGGCTACATAACTTAAGTCTCATAATGAGGCTTACCAGTTAGTGGAGATGTTTTAGTCGTGAGAAAAAAAATGATGTGCTGTTACAGGATTTGAACCCACAACCCTCGTATTTGAAGCCAATTGGAAGGCAAGCATCTTATCCCCAAGCTACATCTCCAATTTGTTACTTTTTGGCATGTTGTTGCAATTTTGTATTACATTTTTATTGTATAGATTAAAAGTAAAATAAAATATCTAAAAAACTAATGCTTCAACTGATTGTGAATTTTAATGTTTTCACAGGATTGTACAATGGATCCATTTGTGTACCTTGAGACAAAGCCTGTAGCCTCTGGATGTGGGCCTAAATCTAGTGGAAAATGCTGCTAAGCTAAAAGAGATGGAAATTGCTAAGCTTAGAAAATGAAGATGAATAAGCTCGATATTTCACCAATCTTTGAAAGAGAGCAGTTGAAGTTAATTGTCTTAATAATCCTGCCCAAATGTAATAAATTCATTAAAATGATATTAAATGGTTTATGGTATAATAGTATAGCTATATGTTTCAGAATGTTTTGAAACTATGCTTTCTGACAAATTCTGATTTTTAAAATTATGTACAGTAAGTTTTTTACATGATTCATTCATTACATGCCTCACATAGTTAACATAATCAATGTAACAATTTGAATTTGTTTGTGATACTGTTTAATTGGTACAGCTACAGTAGAGGTATATACCCACATTTAAAACCTTTTTTTTTTTCGTTCTATCCCATCTTGCTTAATTAATTACTATCCATGCTGCAGTTTAACAGATTAATTCGGAAATGATATACAGTATTTAAATTTCACCACTGTGTTTCCTAATTGAAGAATTATACGTTTCAAAATGAAAAATATGATGTGGAAGTCCGAACTCCTGTCTTCAGCGAATCATAATGTGGTCAACTTCTTGTTTTCTGTCGAAGGGTTTTGTGTCCCTTACTTTCATTTTTTGAATAAATTGATAAACAATAAAAATTATATCAGCGTGGATACTGGTAATGTACAGTATTTGACTTACTTCCTAGATGCAATGTTCCCAGAACGCCACCGTCTGGGGCAATGTATGCACAGCACATCAATTAAGAATTTGGGACGCTGTAGTTATGTTTTGTTATGTATAGATATAGCCAGGTGTCATGAATATTGCCCATATTTATTACTAGACAGTTTTAATTCACTATCTGTTTCCCCAGCCATGCCTTGACTTGTAACAAGCAACAACATTGCTTTCCCTACTCCTTCTACGACTGTTCCATCGTTTCCGATCATTTTGCTCCAATACCGAACTAAACACTACATGCACAATTCTTCACTACAACTAAACACAACGTGCACCATTTTTCACTACAACTAAACTCTACATGCACCATTCTTCACTACAATTAAACACTACATGCACCATTCTTCACAACTAAACACTACATGCAACATTCTTCACTACAACGACTAAACACTACGTGCACCATTCTTCACTACAACTAAACACTATGTGCACCATTCTTCACTACAACTAAACACTACATACACCATTCTTCACTACAACTAAACACTACGTACACCATTCTTCACTACAACTAAAAACTACATACACCATTCTCCACTACAACTAAACACTACGTGCACCATTCTTCACTACAACTAAACACTACGTGCACCATTCTTCACTACAACTAAACACTACATACACCATTCTTCACTACAACTAAACACTACGTGCACCATTCTTCACTACACCTCGCCTACTTTCATACTTCCATTGCTTCTGGATTGCAAGTAGAGTTAGCAAGGTCAGAATTGTTTGTTGCTAGTCGTAGCTTTCTGTGTCATCACGACATGACAACGACGTATTAATATACATATAATAAAAGTACGGTAATTCCAAAGACGTTTACAAGCGTGTTGTGTGAGACGGAAGCTGAAGTTGTTATATCGGTATTCAAACTTGCTGAATTTCAAGTTGGTGTCTCACAGCAGCGGATCAGGATTTCTGGGGGCGATTGGTAATCAAGGACCAATAATCCGTGAAAGGTGGGACCTATGGTCCGATCTTAGCTGTTTGGGTATTTCCTTAACTATTTTGGGATCCCCTGGAAATTGCGAGTTTCATTAAATTTATATTAAATTTTTAATTCAGTTTGCTGCTAATGCCAAAAAGTCAAATATCCGCTGCTCAATACAAAACTCAAGAAAAAATAGCAATGGCGGATCCAGTGATTCGAAATAGGGGTGGCCTAGGGAGGGTTTTTTACAGATAGAGGGTCTATACACATTATGCCTGCCAAGGATCTGGAGAGGTACGAAATTTTATGACTGTGGCATCTCTGGATTTATTTTTTCATTTTGAAAAATTTAGTGGGGTTGGGTGGAGTGTTGGGTTGGGCCCTTTTGAATCAGCCTATGCTTTGGGTTGGCCCATTTACATATTTCAAAGGCAACTGTATGCCCGTATACCCAGGTATTTTAATTGGAAATAGATTTGAGTGTAAATTTCAAGTATTTAAATAAAGTACACGTTTTTTGAGGGAAGTAAATGCATAAAGTTTTAAATGGGTGGAAAGAATGAGTTGAATGCTTTCGCTTAATCGGTGGCTTAACGCCGGATCTGGAGGCCCTGGGGGACACTGGCCCGGCGGCTAAGGTAACCAGACCCATTTGCAGAATTTTAGAAGTCTTAATATTCGATTTCATAGAGACATTGTATATCAACGAATACAATACAGATACAAATATTTATTATTAAAATAAATAGGCTATGGAGTCTTAAAATTAATGACAAAGACAATCGACGAAGCTCAACACAATGCATGGGCCTAGGGTGGCTCCCATCTGGGTGGGTGCGAAATTTGTAAATGCGGAACTACAAAAGATTAGTGGCGTAACAAAAGGGCCGAAAGCTCTGAGCCAGGCGTTGGGGGCCGAGGATCGCGGAGGGCCCGGTGTTCGACAATTTTGACAATTTAGAGGTTTTAATCGATTTAAGAGTCTACTAATATGTAGAAAATACATAAAAAAAATTTTCTCTCTGACGAATTGTGCTTTCAACGAACGTTAAATATTTTCATAATAGCTGTTTGTTTGAATGGGATGAGTTTGGCGGTAGTAATAATAATTATAATAATTATTATCATTATTATAATGATAATAATAATTATCATTATTATAATGATAATATAATAATTATATATAATAATAATGATAATAATACAGGTATATAATAATAATATAATATGATAATATAAGATAAAATATAATATAATATATATAATATATAATAATATATAATATAATATATAATAATTATAATTATAAAAATTATAATAATAATATAATAAAATAATAATAATATAATATATTATATAATAATATAATATAATAATATAATTATAATTTTACGGGTGATATATAGGCCCTATTGGAGGATGTTTGTGCGCGCTGTTTTCGGTTGTCTGTATATTTAATCACTGATATCTTGTTGGTTTATTTAATTTTTCCACACACATCAAATCATATACAATTAAACATACAATATAGGTAAAAATACTTAAGTAATATGAAAATAAACGTGTGTGGATGGAGGTCAAATACTGAGATCAAAGAACTTTAAGGCTTACCTCCATGTCTGTTTAACCGGACCTAAACCAAATTTTTCCCGCCAAATTTTTCCCTCTACACTGGAAACTATGCCATTGTTTTTGGCTTTCCTTCCCCCAGCTAGAACAATGCCACTGTCTTGGCTTTCTTGCCACGCCCCGCCCTTCTATTCAGACCGTGAATTTTTGCTTTTGTATAGCTTTTCACTGGTAGGCTCAGCCTTTGTTTAGTTTTCAACTAATCAGCAGCAAGTCTCATCACTCAAACATATAAGTAATTCCCTGTTTGAGATCTCTGCAGATATTATTCTCCTGAAGACGGTTGAAGCAAGTCAACCGAAACGTCGAGATATTCTCAACCAACAACAACGGTTCTTTTCAGAACTATCTACGTGGTGTACCGCAAGCATTAATTATATACTCTTATGTTCTTCAAAATTCAAGGTTTTCCCATCTTGAAAACGGTCAGGTAATTTTTTCCCATCGTTATTACAGTAAATAGGGCTTATGTGTGTATACATACATAACAATATTTAAAAAATGAGTAGTTGCATACGAATTTTCCATGAATCGATGAATCCCAAAAAGAAAGGGGGTCCGTGAGTTCTTCCCCGGGAAAATTTTGTTTTCCTAGAAGGCGGAAAATGAGCTTTCCCGACTTCTGAGGTGTCTTTTAAATTAAAGTCATTAAAAAATACTTCAGAAGTCGGGAAATCTCATTTTCCACCATTTAGAAATCAACATTTTCCCGGGAAGAACTCGAACCTCCCTTTCTCTGGGTTCATTGATTCATTAAAATAATTTTCAAGAGGGGAACACCTTGAATTTTGAAGAACTTAAAAGTAAGTAAGTTCTTCAAATTTCAAGGTTTTCCACTTGAAAACGGTCAGATAATTTTTCCCATTGTTATTAAGTAAATAGGCCTTGTGTGTGTATACATACATAAAAAAAGATTGAGTAAGTTGCATACGTAGTTTTTCCATGAATCGATAAACCCCAAAAAGAAAGGGGGAGGGGGTTCTCCACCGGGAAAATTTTGATTCTTAATCTGTATCATAGAGTGTATTAACCAGCCGCATTATTGCTGCGAAGCAGCCAATTCATATTCTTGACAGCAATTTGACCTCTGAAAGGTAATTGTTTGTCAAAAAACAAGAGCCTAAGACGACTGAAAAACGGAGTCTCCTTCTTTCGTTTTGCCGGGTAAAATCAATTACTTTAGGCGACGTTTGTAGACTAACCTACTCGTACCAGTCCAACGTCCGCATGTCGCGACGTTCGAGTATTACTATTCAGCGTTTTTTTACTATATTTCTAGGTTTTCTATTTCTACGTTTAATCGGCCCATGTCTCAGCCACAATATTTTGAGTCAAAGAAATCGAGAGAATTCCAAAGCTTTGGGACCAGTATTATAAAGCTGAGTTGCGTCTAAGATTTGGAAAGCTTTAGTTAAGTAATTATCTGCATGTCTAGTGTTATATGCATGGTTATCAAATGATTTAACAAATAAAGAAGAAATATGGGGGGGGGGGGGGGGGGGGGTGGAATAATTAAATTGTGAATACGGTAGGCCTACATAAATAAATGCAACTATACGTTTGTTGGGAGAACGATAGTACTCTACAGGCACATTAAAAAGTCAATAGGCAACTTTCGATTTGAGCGACGACGCGACCCTAGAACGGAATCACTCATGCATGACCGTCCTACCTGGCGTCCTACGTTCTCTGCGCATGCATAAGTAGATATATTTGGCCAAATTGCGTTTCAGATGCAGAATCTACTCGACGTTCTCTGCATGCGCAGATGACTGTCACTGACGTCATTACGTTCTCTGTCGTGGCCGTCGTTGTGCAATCGAAAGCTCCATAATATTCATGACTTGCATTTATGAGGTCCGGGCAAAGGTTAAACCGTCTGAAACGAGGGTTTTAGAAGGGGCAACAACCAAGGAGAATATAAGCTGAATGAGAATAAATTAGGAAAGAGGTCGTCCGTAAAAACCTCGTTAATAAAACACAAAGATACAATCGTTCCAAATCAGGCCTACTCCACCTTCTGTTTGGAAATTTGCCAGAGTGTATGCCTTGTGCACTGGGATTCACTAAGATATGAAATGACCATCACATATTTTGCTAGGGGGATCATTCCTTCTGTCCCAAACCCACTTTAATCCCCGTCATTGTTCTGCTCCTACCGCACAATTAAATCGGCTCTGAGCGACTTGGACCAACATATCAAACTTTGTGGTTATATTAATCAAGGACTTTAAACTTATAATTAAAGTGAATTGAGTGCGCGGTCAATGGTTTTTTTTTAAGTGGAATGATCCAATAATACATACGCTGCATGTAATACAACATTAATACAAGAATACAGAAATAGATTAAAGCCATAAACCACGCTGTGGAACACTTGTAACCAAAACCAAAGACCTCATCACCACAGGCACAATCCAGCAAGGAGGTATTGTAACTATATATGTATTGTATATATATATATATATTATTAGAGTAATTTTTAGGATAAAGTAAGTGAACTAAGTATCCTTGTTTCTGTGTAACAATAGCAATAAAGGTAGGTAGCTGGTGTTAAACATTTCTATACGGGGTAGATGCCGCATTTACGGGATATTTTTTGAGGACTGCGAGGACTTGGTAGCAGTGTGGGCATGTACCTAGTCCCTGCTCCGTCCCGTATCAATGTAGCATATTTTTTCACAGGATTTTAGCGGAGATTTTTTGCTAACCTCCGTCCTAAACCTACCGTTAATACATAGACACGAACATTAGAGATCGCTGACAGACAGCACCGCGGTCTGTCGCCATCCACAAGTTATAAATTTGGTAGGTTTTGTCACGCCAAAATTGGTCAAGGCCAAAATCGGTCTGGGGACCGCTAAAAGTTATCCGGTGAACTGATTTTGGCCGGCCAAAATCAGTCCTCCTGGGATAATATTGGCTTAGCCTAATCGTTCCGCCTACGCCTGCTACGGGTACTCAACACAACCAATTACAGCACAGTGAGTGGTTACTAATCGGTCGGCATAGATTTTTGAGGGAAAATTGGTGGGAAATTAGAAATTGAACGACCAATAAAAATGAATGGATTAGTCGCAAGTCCAATCTTAAGCCTATTTTGCATA